ACTCTACAATAGCAAAAGGAAATATCACCTTTGCCAAGACTTCATTGGTGACTTATGATATAATTAAGTAATTTTATTATCACTGCTTTAAGTGAGAAATTTATAACTTTTGGCATATAGTTAGTTGTTATGCATGTTGGATAATATTCTTAATACACTTCAGCTTCCCTGTAGATTTTTGCGCACAGGTGGGTAATTGTAACATAGCTCAATCAATCAGTCTAAACCGAACCAACAAATTTTGACACATTTGGAACTTCACGAAGTGTGTGTTAGTTTCTTAAGATTTATAATCCCCTAATACTGATAATAGGCTATTCATGTAAAGCATAAAATCAGCATTCTCAATAAGCTTCATTTCAAAAGATAAAACATCATCTCATGGCCTCAAATAAATAGTAAAACAACCAGCTAAAGAGGGTAGCATTTTGCTTGATAATTATTCAAACGTGTTCTTTTGGAAACGAGGAGCCTCCAAATTGTAATCTAAGATAGCCTCCAACCTAAGTTTGATCCTATATATACCTTAGACGGGCTCCAAACCAACACTGCTTATAGAAACCACTTCACCAAGGAGTGCAATTTGAGTCCCAGCTTAATTCAGCCAATCCCCATGTAAGCAGACAAAATTCAAACTTAAGATGGTGTTCACCATTTCAACGTGTCATATCAGTTAGGTCGCCCGTAGTGGGTTTTAAGTGATTTATTGTTATCACGTGTGTGAAATAGGTATTCATACATTATGTGAAAGAAAGTTTCTGAGAGGAATCAAGAATAGCTAAGTTGAATTTTTGCCAGAGAAAGCAACATAAGGTGCTTTTCTGTATGACAATTAATAAGGGAAAAGGCTTAATAGATTACATTCAATCAGATGTATAAGGGCCTAAATCGATAAAGTTTGAAGGCATGCAGTACATTTTAATTTATTGACAACTTCTTATAGTGCGTGATTCTGCTTCCTTAAGCACAAATAAGAGGTATTTGTGCTATTCAAGGAATAAAACAATATTGGAAAATTGAATTAATCACTAGTAAAAAGAGGGTATAGTTCTCATGCATAAAGTCCAAAAAATTGAGATCCAAACAAAACTATAGTCTATAGGGTACTTTATACAAAAGTGCAAAGTAGGATAAACAATAGGGGACTTGAGTACAAATATACCAAACAATGAAACAGTTGCTGCCGTTTACCTTTGAGCCTGAGGTGACGACGGGCTAGAGCAGTGACGTTTATTATTAAAATAAAATCTGGATGTGCAAAAAGAAAAAGGAAATTTATAGATGAAAATATATAGTGCATGGATCCCTGTAAAATTACTAATAAAATTATTTTGTTGGTGCTTAAAGATACATGTATATTCAAAACCTATCATCTCATCTTCTATTATCTAAAGTAACAAAACTAAATCTACATGGGGTAAAATACACATATCACATGGATCTCAAAAAACTAAGTACTAGTAACATATATGTTGGTGGTCCTTGAATCAAGCATGCAGGGTCATAACAAGAAAATGATATTTTCATTAGTTTAGTGTATCTATTTCTTATAATACAACAATCCATACCTAATATATAGGGTCTTTATGGAAAAAGTGCAAAGTCAGCTAAACTATAGGGATTTAAGTGCAATTATACCATACAAAAGAACAACACTAGCAGGGTCACGACAAAGGGCTACAGTGGAGATCTGGCGGTGCTGGGGCGACGCCGACGACGGGGCAACAAAGGGCAGGCACTGAGCGGAGGTTGGCAGCACTAGGGGCGATGAGGGCGGCATCGGCACTGAGCAGCGATAGGTGGAACAGATCGTCGGCGCTGTGGCAGGATCGCGGGCAGAGGTAGGAACACTGGCGCTTGCATGAACGCTGGCGATGGGCTGTAGCAGGAACGCTGGCGCTGGACGGCGACGGCGCTGGCGCTAGCACAGGGAAGAGAATAGGGGCAATTGCATGCCCTACATGAATAGTAATGAGACTTTTAATTAGGGTTTAGATTAATATGCGCTTAGTGGGTTCTTTGGGTTTCGGTTCTAATTTATATTAATTTTGGTTAGTGGGTTGTTTGGGTTAGTGGCCTGTTACGATTAGGATTAGGAGTTATGATTAATGAAGGTAATTGACTCATTCGTGTTTTAGAAGACCCAATAATGGCGGTATTAAAACCAAATCAACAAAGGGATTAGAAAACCATTATCCCACCTTACATCATTACTCTAATAATTGTGATAACTCGATGAAGGGATTTAAAACTGTCGTTATTGTACACACATTAATGACAGTCAACTGGTCCATTCACTAATTTTGATCATTAAATACCGGATTTCTTGTAGTGAAATACAAACACTAGACAAACGATGTTAGGGATTGGTTATAAATCATCAAAAGAAGGTTAGAGATGTAGGCTCATGAACATGAGACGTAACACATTGTAGGTCCTGAGCTTCTTTATTCTCAAACCTTTCTCATTCTCGACCATAGTTTTCCATCTTCTGAAGGCTTCAAATACTTCAGACTTGTGCTTCAAAAAGTAGACCCACACTTTCCGAGAGTGATCATCGATAAAAGTCATGAAGTAGTATTTCCCACTAATGGACGCTGTGGTGGTTGGTCCTCAAATATCTGAGTGAACGAGCTCTAGCTTCTCCTTCTTTGGGGTTCTTCTACTTGTCTGAAAGCTAACTCTCTTTTACTTTCCAAGTTTGCAATCTTCACACATGTCTATCTCCACTGATTTTAGACCTGGGAGTTTTCCTTTTGTGTGCATGATCTTCATTCCCTTCTCACTCATATGACCGAGTCTTTGGTGCCATAAATTTGAAGTCTTAATGCCTACTTCTACTGAGATCAAATAGCGCGCACCTGCTATCATATATAGGGTACCACTCTTCTTGTCTTGGACAATCGTCATTGCGTCTTTTGATATCTTACAATCATCTCCATGGAAGGTCGTAATGTAGCCTTCTCTAGCCAACTGGCCTAATGAGATTAAGTTCTTTCTTAGGTCGGGAATATGTCTGACATCCTTCAGCTCCTATACTGACCCATTTAACTTAATTTTCACTACACCTTTGCCCACAATAGCACACGGTTGATCATCACCAAGATATACATATCCAAGATTACCGGGGACCTACTTCTCGAAGAATTCTTTCTGAGAAGTAGCATGGAACAATGCTCCTAAATCTAACACCCAAGATTCTTCTTTGCTCTCTAAAGAGCATATCAATGCATCATCTCCTCCTGAGATGGAAGTAACATTCACCTCTGTCTTCGTCTCCTTCTCCTTCTGTGTACTTTTGCACTGATTCTTGTAATGCTCCGCCTTCCTACAATTCCAACACTCGGTGGTCTTCGAGCTGTTGCTTGGATTCCTGGACTTGGACCTCCTGTCCTTTGATCTACCTCTGTAATTTGATTTGCATCGTCCATTTTCTCTGGTTGAATTTCTACCTCTTGACTCTGTATGCAATACTGAAGAAGTTGTAGCTTCACCCGACTCTCTCCGTCGGATCTCCTCACTGAGAACCAGATCACGAACGTCATCGAGCTTTAACTTGTTGCTTTCCGACAAGCTACTCACAGCCGTGACTGTAGCGTTCCAACTTTCTGGTAGGGAAGACAAAATTTTTCAACCCTCAAACTTCTTCATCAAACTCAATTTCAACTAAACTCAATTGTGTTGTGACCGTGTTGAGTTCATTTAGGATTTGTGCTACTGATGCGCATTCTGTCATTTTCAGATTGAATAACCACCTCATCAAATAAACTTTATTTACGGATGATGGCTTCTCATACATATTTGAGAGTATTGTCATAAGACCTGCTGTGGTCTTCTCCTTCGCTATGTTGAACGTAATATTGCGAGTTAGTGTCAATCTGATAACTCCGAAGACTTGTCTCTCTAGAAGGTTCCACTCATCTTTCTTCATAGACTCTGGCTTCTTCCCTGAAAGGGGTTAATATAGATTCTTTTGGTACAGATAATCCTCTATATGCATCTTCCAAAATCCGAAACCTATTCCATCAAACTTCTCTAATCTCACCTTTCCTTCATCTGCGGCCATTGCTCCCACTTGAATCTGATTTCCTCTAGATCGTTTCAGGCTCTGATACCTATATTTGAGAATTACGAGGCTACGCTAAACCCCTAAAACAATAAAAAAACACAGTAGAGAAAAGTACATCAAGATTTACGAGGTTCGGCAAACTTGACTACGTCCTAGGGAACCACCCAATTAATTTCTTATTAATCAAAGAAATTACAAAGCTTTACAAAGAGCAGATCTCAAACTGAGATCTCTTAATAAATGCAAAATTGTCACTGTAGCTACAGTGAAAAACGCCACTTAAATTCCCCTCCAGAATCTCTGCTGAGCGCTGGGAAAAAGAGCAGAAAAATTCGCCGCCGCCAAGAGTTTTGAGAAATCGCGAGAAAAAAAAGAAGCACGGATTTTCGTGCTCTGGGTTCCCTTTTATAGGGAAACCCTAGTGACAGGTTGTCATGTCTCGACCTCACCTGTGGAGCTCGAGCTCACCTGCGTCGCCTCGAACTCGCCTGAGTGGAGCTCGCCTGCTGTAATGACCGTGAAATTTTGATACTGGTTAAAATAATTTTTCGGTATTTTAACATATTTAATTATTATTTTTAAAGGAGTATTTGTAATTTCCCGATTTTCTAGATTTTCCTATGATTTAAAAATCTAATTTTATATCTATTTTAATGATTTTACAAATTATAAATTTAATTGTTATGATAAAACTTTTAATTAATATTTGATTATTTATTATTGTTATTATTATTATTAATTACTTACATTAATATCTCACCTGCCGTGAGGTACGCGTGAGATCTCCCACCAATCCCTGCCTCTCTCTCTCCTGTCTCCCTCACTCTCTCTCCAATCATCTCTCTCTTTGTATCTCTTCGTCTCATTCTCTCTCTTCATCTCAATCTCTCTCTGTTACTCTCACACTCTCTCTCTCACTCTCACTCACGTCCTCCCCCTCTATATATTTCTCTCCCTCTTCCTCAAAACCCGCAACACCATCCCCTCCATCTCACTCTCTTCTCCATCTCTCAGACTCTCAGTTCACACACTCTCTTCACCCTCTCTCTCTCCCTCTTCAAGAAACCCAAGAGAACCTCACAGAAAACCCATCTCCTCCCTCACTCGTTCTATCTTCATCTCTCTCCCCATTTCTCCAAAGAGAACCGCCTCCTCTACCCGCACCGACCCTCGCCGCTTCGTCCTCGTTTCCGCCCCCTCCAGCTCTCCTTGAGATCCGACCAACTCTGACGAACAGCCCCCTTGAATCCCCCATGCTGCTGCCTTCCTCCTCCTCTCCTACCCCGCGCGGAGCCTTCCAGTCACCGCACCACCCCCTCACGCCGCCCTGCTTCCCGCGGTGATCCCTCTCCTCTTCCCGGTGCTGCCTCGCATCCACCAGCAGCGAGCAGCGGCGAAAACTGCCGTTGCCGCTTCGCCTAGCTGCCGGCAAGACCACGGAGCCCCGCCGGATCCCCGTCAGCCCCGTCGGAGCCCACCGAGACTCTCCCGACAACTCCCGGCAACCTCCTCCCACCTCCGGCAAGCCCGAACAGCGAGGAAAGCTCCGAGCAGCAAGAAACGTGCCTGAACAGCGACCAAACGCGAAGAACTGCACTGCAGATTTCTGCAGTTTTGTGTCGACTTCACACGCACTTTCCGATCACCTCCGACCTCCATTTTCGTCGATTTCTTCTCCGGTGAGTAGACCTACATATTGCCTATCACCTCCAATTTGTATCACACTCTAACTCACTCTCTATCTCTCTCGGTATCATCCGAAACATCGATCGACGGCAAGCAGTTCGCTGAAAACAGCAGCACTGTGCCAACTTCGCACGCGTTTCCCGGCCACTTCCGATCTCCGTTTCCGCCACCGTCTTTACCGATGCGTAGCCCTTCGTGTTGTCTATCACACAGTATATTCCTTTTACTTGGGCTCCTTATCTACACATCGTTATATTCATTCGAATATCGCTAATCGCTACTAATACCTCTTTTGTATTCTAACCGATTGACTTTCCGACGAGCCGTTGAACCTGTTGTGACCCGTGTATCCACCCCGACGACCCCCGCTGCAGTTGACGACGTACCCGAGGCAAGATCCCGATCCTTATTTAGTTTCGTTCCAATCCTTATATTTTTCATAGATTATTTATGTGCAAGATCCCGTTTCCCTTTGACTCGTCAATTCAATTTCTGGATCTGTTGCGAATTATTTGTGCTGTAATATGATTAGTTATAACTAGTATATTACGGTTATCTGTGTGGGACTGTTGATGACGATATTTCAAATGATAAATTAATGGTTTTTAGATTAATTAGAATTATCATTATGAGAAATAATTTTTAAAAGAGTTTATTTTGGAAAAATGGTTTAATTTGAATTATTATAATAATAAATAAGTTAGAAGAATTTATTTTGGAAAATTGGTTAGTTTTGAATAATTATAATGTTAAATAATTTTAATGGAAATTTTTGGAAAAGAGATTATTTTAAAGGAATCTATTTTGGGAAAGATTATTTTTGAAATTAATCAATTTATGATCATGACGATTGGAAATTGGGAGAACATCAGGAGCCAGAGGATCCCCCATAGGAGTGCTTTGTAGACCAAGCAAAAGAAGCCGAAGCCTAGTTATTTCTTTTATCAGCTGTTATTCCTTAGTTTACTTTTCTAGCATTCCTATTTCCGCCTGATCGTTGTATTTTATATTCTCCAGTATTTCATTCAGATAGTTTGTATAAGGGCATGTTTGGCCCGAATATTATGTCTGGATGATCATTTCAGTTGTGATATGTATCTTTTGGTTCTGAGTTGTTTATTATATTCTCATTACTGTGATCGGGGACCTGTGCCTTCGTTTGTATTTCTTGACGCTTAGCGTATTAGATTGAGAAGACGGGGTCTAGCACTTATCTCTTCTCAGTTTAATACGTCGCGGGCTTGCTCGCGTCCTCGAACTCGCCTTGAGCTCACCTCGCCTGGAGCTCGCCTGCGTGGAGGTTTGAGTCTACACCCAAAACCAACAATTTTTTCATCTAAACTTTTTTTCAGACAATGGAGAAAATGGAAGGCGAAAAAAGAATTTTAAGAAGAAAACAAAAATCTAATCTGAATCATTCAAATTTAGTTGTAATACTCTCTATAATATTTATAAAACTTATTAAAAATGTATTGTTCGAAATTAGAATCTTAACATGTTGCAGATCCAAAATCTTCAACATAAAGAAATGTCAGTGCTTAACACTATGTTTGGATGGGGTATAATGACGGAGAAGATAAGATAAGATAGAGTTAACCATTTTTTGGGGGGGTGTGGCGGGGGCGGGGGGGGGGTGTTACGTGGGGGTAAGGTAGAGTAAGTGAAGACTAGCTGAGCGTGAGATGTTCCTCTTAAACATTAATTTTTCTTTTCCCCTCATTTTGGCCGATAACCAAAAAGAAAGTAATTGGCATCTAATAAATAACTTTGTTGGGACTTGCCCTCTAATAATAAAATATTTTAACAACATGTGAGATTATTTATGTAATTTTACATCAATTCTATTCTCTTTCTCCATTAAACTCCCTAACATATTATCATATTTTTCTTTAACTTCCATTACCATTCGTTACACTCTCTTTCTAAATTTACACTTTATCTTTCTTTCTCTTAGTAAACTCCCAAACATAGTGAAAGTTAAGTCGTTATCTTCCTTGTCCTTTCTTACACATATTCGTCAACAAGAATATGTCCTATAATCCATTAATTAAGAATTCCTTGTCCTTTCTTACGTACACATATTCGTCAACAAGAATATGTCCTATAATCCATTAATTAAGAATTATTCTAGTGGTAGCAAACTTCAATTTAGAACAAGCAAGAGACCGTGGGATGATAGTTTAATTATTAATTAGTTTTAAAATATATCTTATACTTAGTCACTTCAAAAAAATCGGTATAGTATTATGAGTCAAAGAATGATTATGGGAGTGAATGTGTTTAAAAGTAAATAGTTGCAGAAACTTTAGGTTAATAGGAAGTGTTTTTTAATCTTAGAGTGATTTTGAAAGTAACTGAGTTTAAAAATAAAGGGGGAGCATGTAAACTCTGGGTTAAAGAACCTTTTCTAAAGTGTACGAGTTTAAAATTAAATGAGAGTAAAACTTTGGATTTATAAAGAAAAACACCATTTACAGTTCAATGCAGCATTAGCGTTAAAAAACCAAAACATAATGGTTGAGCAATTAACTGAAAAAATACACTGAATGTATGACCACTCAAAATAAATACATAGCAAGTTATAGTAAAACATAACAAACTTACACTATATATCAAATTACTGAAATATAAAATTGGTTCAAATTTAATTTGGTGTGGTAGGTTGCCTCTAAGAGTGATTTTAGAAGTGGGTAAATTTAAAAAATAAATATAGGTAAAAACTTTATTTTTAAAGGTAAAAATTTCTCTCTCTCTCTCTCTCTCTATATACTAAAGCTAATAGGAGGTAATATTCATAAGCAATATTCATCTCCCATTAAATTTAGTATATATAGAAATGTAAAAGTTAAATGAAATGAAAATGCTTTACAAAATTTGTAAGGGGATATCAACTAATGATGGATTACTTGCGAACAGACCGTCTGTAGTATCACTTAATTGCAAATAGACCCCATGTAATTTTATTTGTTGTGAGTAGACCCCTTAAGTAATTTTTTTTACTATGAAAATCGTTAAAAATGTTTGAGGAGGCGTGTAGACCCCTTGTAATTCTATTGGAGAGGATAGATTTCCAGCTGTAAATTTCTTTGACTTTTAAAAGGTCAAAGAAGTTCACTAAAGGGGTACATTCACACTTGGGTCAATACTATAATGGGTCTATTCGCAACAAATAGAACTATATAGGGTTTATTCGCAATTGGGTGATAGTATAAGGGGGTCTATTCGCAATTAACCCATTAATGATTGAATTACAATGTATATAACTAACAAAAAGAATTACAATGAATGTATAGCAAGTTCGACCTACAAAATGACGAAAGAGACACTTAATTGGGAGATTACAATCTATCTGTCCAGTACTAGGCTATGATTAAATTGGGAGATTAGCTAATCAAACTACAAAATAAGTATTACTAACATGGTAATTATGTTAACCTCGCTCATTAAGTTCGGCCTATATCGTACTGTTAAGCAACTCAACCCTCTTTTACCCGTCTATTTACCTGAAGCGTGTTGTGCGTAGCGGAAATTTCGGCAGAGTTTCTGGTGCACAATAAGAGAGAAAGATCGATAAGAATTCTTGTTTCTCAAAGGGAACAAGAATCTAAAGCCTAATATCTCATCAAAGTGGGATATTAGCTCTTCCTCTCGTCAGCTCTAGGACTACGCATCGAGGAATCCTAAAAACTATTACAATGGTCACAAACTCAAACAAACTAATTTTACGTGATTCGGCAAATAGCCTACGTCCACGGGGCAAGGAGGGGGATCTACTATTAGAGAGAAAATACAATAGGTTTACAATCTTACAAAATAAACCCTCAAACTAACTCTCTAATCTCTCACAAAAACAGCCACCAAATAGGATTTTTCTCCTCTGCACGAAGCCCAAGAAAAATCCACAACCGTCTTTTGCACGCGGTCCAAGCCTCTGCCTCTGCACAAAACTTCTGCAGTCGCTTTTTAATTCTCCGCTTCCCAATCTTGCACCAATTGTTCACGAAACCCTATGTGCTATATTTATAACAGCACATGTCGGGTGGGCCTCTTTTACCCGCTGAACAAAATCCTTCCACGTGGTTTCCTGACTTCGTGGCCGAGTGGGTTTTGATCTCTTCATGTGGGTTCGTGGTCCCCATGTGCGTTTCCCAGCTCTTCACACGCTGACCTATCCCATCACGTGCCTCTTGTCCGCTGGATCAACCGCGTGGTCCCCCATGAGAACTGATGAAACCTTCACGTGGTTTCCTCTCTTAGCCTCTCACAACAAAAGCTCTTGTGGCCCCCACATGCAAAGCAAAAACGCATTCACAATTCTTCACCTCGGCGAAGTTTCTACCAAAAACTGAGCCGACACTTACCAAACCAAATGTCTCACTCATTGTGTCCAGTACACCGTGAAACAATTCACGACAACAGACTCAATCCATAACAAGTCGAGACCCAAACGGGAGTGCGAATACTCACCCAAACCAACAGTGTCTACTCACCAAATCGATCTCACCCCCATCAAAATCCAACCCGGCTGCATCGTAAAGACTGCCTACGTATCCTCTTGCCCAAGGAATCAAGCCGAACGTAGTTCACCCAAATAGCCACGAACGACCTCAAACCAATAGAAGAGTTCGCAACCCTTCTCCAATATCATTAACTCTGCGGCTGATAGCACCTCCATTGGCCTCAAACACCTCCACATGAGGTGAACCAATGGCCATATCCAAACTATGTCTGCCAGCTGCACTCGATTCAAAACCTAACTCATCATCTGCACCCAAATCCAAATGATCCCTAAGCTGTGTCACCTTAGCTGGAATCCCAAATAATGCAGTATAATCTGGAGTAATCTTCACCTAATGTGGAGTAGCATCACACTCCACCCGCTGCGATACATCTAAGGTCTATCCAAAACTCTCCACCTACTGAAAGTCAATTGGCTTCCTCATCAAAGCCTCAACCAAAGTGATACTATCAGACCTATCTTCCAATAGAGTTTTACCTCCAATCACAGCAGTTGACAACTCTTTAATAGGATAACCCAAATATGTTAAAGCCTCAGTCCAGAATCTCTTCTGCAAACTATTGCTTGACAACAAACACCGATCCTCCTCCAGCAAGGCACGGTTCTCCAAATTTGTCACCCTATTTAGTTGCCCCAAGATTTCCTTTCCAACGAAGCGTCTCGAAGTGCCGTGAGCTCGGCTCCAATACAGAAATAGGTCCATCTTGTATCTCCCACCCAAACTAGAGTGAAGTACCTTCACCTTTCTGCCAATATCACACTTCTTCAATCTGTTGGAAACTACTAGGACTTTATCCAAATGGGATTAGGTTGCAACCCAAACACGCCTAGAACAGTCACCAACAAAGGAAACCAAACTTCTATTACCTCCCAATGATGCCCCCTTGGAAGGCCCCCAAACATCCACGTGAACTCCTCCAGAATGACCCTTAGCACGGTGAATAGAGGTGCCACACTTCACCTCGGTCTTCTTGCTCACATCAACATGTTCACTGGACTTCAAACTGCAGGTCTTCGCACCCTCTTCCAATCTATGCGAGGAATCAATACTGGAATGGTCAAGCCCCAAATGCCGCAGTCTAGTCGAATTAACAGAAGTCGTCAGCTCTCCACCTGCCACTATACCTCCAGTCAAGTAATACAGGTTATTCCTCCTGACGCCCTTCATCAAAATACGAGAGTCTCTCGCAATCTCGAGAACCATGTCCTCAACACGAACCTTCAGACCCTCTCCAACCAAAGCTCCAATTGAGATCAAGTTTTTTTCTCAAAGAAGGAACATATCTCACATCATTTAACTCCTTAACAGTCCCGTCAAACATTTTGATGCGAATTCTTTCTATCCCAATGATCTGGCATGCACGGTTATCAGCCATATACACCACACCACTATCCACCAGCTTCTTAAAACTGGAGAACCATTCCCTTCTAGGGCACACATGATAGGTCGCACCACTATCCAACATCCATTCAGATTCCTCCGAATAGCTATCTGTAGGACTGATAGAAAGTGAATAAATTGAAGAGTCATAATTATTACCATCTGATACGATGTTTGCTTCTGATGATGGCTGCTTCCCTTTTCCCTTCTGCTTATTCTTCATCCATTCGTCGAGCTTTGGGCAGTCTTTCTTCCAATGACCAGTCTCCTTGCACCAAGCACACTGATCTTTTCCTACTCTAGACTGTGACTTCCAATTCTTTCGGTTCGGATTCTTCCCTCTTACGACCAACGCCTCTGCTACCGGCTCAACTAAAGCCTCCTTATCCTTCTTTCGAAGCTGATAATTCACAAGTGCAGCAGTGACCTCACTATACGAAATTGATGCCTTCCCATTAATCAGAGTAAGAACGAAGGTCTCATATTCCTCGTCGGGCAAGGAACTCAACAACAGCAACGCCTTGTCCTCATCTTCAATCACAACATCCACATTCGCCAAATCCGCAAGAAGCTTAGTGTAGTGGTTCATGTGATCTCTAATGGAGGTTCCCTTCTTCAATTGGAAACGATAAAGCCTCCTCTTCAAATGCAACCGATTTTCCACACTCTTGGTCAAATACTTGCTTTCGAGAATCTCCCAAATCTTCTTCGCAGAAGTCTCATTCATCACATCATATTTTAGATCTTGAGTCAAACAAGACCTAATCACACCACACGCCGTTCGATTCATCTTCTTCCAAACCTTCTCTTCAATCTCATCTGGCTTGCCATCTAACTCCAATGTATCCTCCAAATTCTGCGCGTTCAGCGCATCCAAAACCTCGCATCTCCATAATCCAAAATTGTTTGTGCCATTAAACTTCTTCACATCTATCTTCATAGAGTGGATATTTAAACTCTGAATGGTCTTCGCGCCAGAAGCACCACTCTCGATACCCGAAGCACCTTCTTTCCCCGACATCCTTTCTCAACGCACCAACGAACGAAGAATAGATCCAAACTGAAAAGATAGAGTCTTTATCAAAAGATCACACCTTTATCACCAAACGAAGCCCTAGACGAGCCTCCAAATTGATCTACTCTTCCAAATAGCCCAAGCATAGCCCGAGCTCTGATACCACTTTTTGTGCGTAGCGGAAATTTCGGCAGAGTTTCTGGTGCACAATAAGAGAGAAAGATCGATAAAAATTCTTGTTTCTCAAAGGGAACAAGAATCTAAAGCCTAATATCTCATCAAAGTGAGATATTAGCTCTTCCTATCGTCAGCTCTAGGACTGCGCGTCGAGGGATCCTAAAAACTATTACAATGGCCACAAACTCAAACAAACTAATTTTACGTGGTTCGACAAATAGCCTACGTCCACGGGGCAAGGAGGGGGATCTACTATTAGAGAGAAAATACAATAGGCTTACAATCTCACAAAATAAACCCTCAAACTAACTCTCTAATCTCTCACAAAAACAGCCACCAAATAGGATTTTTCTCCTTCTCGGGGGATCTACTATTAGAGAGAAAATACAATAGGCTTACAATCTCACAAAATAAACCCTCAAACTAACTCTCTAATCTCTCACAAAAACAGCCACCAAATAGGATTTTTCTCCTCTGCACGAAGCCCAAGAAAAATCAACAACCGTCTTTTGCACGCGGTCCAAGCCTCTTCCTCTGCACAAAACTTCTGCATCCGCTTTTTAATTCTCCGCTTCACAATCTTGCACCAATTGTTCACGAAACCCTATGTGCTATATTTATAACGGAAAATGACATAAGGGCCCAAAATATGGGACCAATGGAGGGGACAGGTGAGGTGTCCCCTCCCTATTGCATAATGAGTTGGCATGGCCAACTCATTATGCAATAGGGAGGGGACACCTCACCTGTCCCCTCCCTTGGTCCCATATTTTGGGTACCCATAGCAGCACTCATTTATAACAGCACATGTCGGGTGGGCCTCTTTTACCCGCTGAACAAAATCCTTCCACGCGGTTTCATGACTTCGTGGCCGAGTGGGTTTTGATCTTTTCACGTGGGTTCGTGGTCCCCATGTGCGTTTCCCAGCTCTTCACACGCTGACCTATCCCATCACGATCCTCTTGTCTGCTGGATCAACCGCGTGGTTTCCTCGCAGCCTCTCACAACAAAAGCTCCTGTGGCCCCCACATGCAAAGCAAAAACGCATTCACAAAGCGCGCATGTGTACTATATCTCAGATTGTCATCCACCAACAATCACAGTTAGCTGAGGGGAAAAAACAACAAAACGTCAAAAAGTTATAGCAAGTGCTTAAAAATAGAAAAATATTAAGTGTACTATATATAACTTTTCTAATGAACTTATTTGGGTGTTTTATGCGTGGTTGAAATGATTAAGGACGAAAATGCTCAGATTCGTATTTGTTGGGTGGGGGATGCACTTTTTCCTTCTAAACATTGACCAGCATCTGTTTTTCAATTAATCTCACCTCTCTGTCTCTCAAAATGCTCAGATTCGTATTTGTTGGGTGGGGGATGCACTTTTTCCTTCTATAAATTGACCAGCATCTGTTTTTCAATTAATCTCACCTCTCTGTCTCTCAAGTTTTCTCCAAACTCAAGTTCCGTTAGTCTGCTCTATTAATTATTGCTTCGCACGCACTGAAAAGATTGTTCATGCAGGCTGATAGCATGGAGGCTACTGAAAAAGGCTGGAAATTCCAACAAAGGAAAGGTGGCTACAGAGCTGCCATGTTCATATTAGGTAAATAATCACGAAAGCGATTAGTTATGTTCACAACTTACAACTAGCTGATGAACTTGGGTTTAACTTCGTCTCTTAAAATTTTACGACTGTCCCCTTTTTCTTCCCCCAGTCATGACAGGGCTCGACTACATTGGGTTTGTAGCAAACATGGTGAGCTTGGTGCTATACTTCCTTGGAGTAATGCACTTCGATTTAGCTGATGCATCAACTACTGTCACAAACTTCATCGGAACGGCTTTCTTGCTTACAATCCTCGGGGGTTTCATTTCAGACACATACATGACTGTTAGGATATGTGAAGCCTAACTATCAAGCATGCCCTATACTTCAGAAGAGAGGAGGAACAAAGTTGGAACAGGAGGAACAGGATCGACGATGGAGAAGTTCAAGCAAAACGACGAAGGAGAGATTTGGCAGCTTTGCGGTCGACCGGCCATGACGCGGCGGTCGACCGTCTACGTGCACAGCTGGGTGCACAGGCCAAGAGCTCATCGCGGTCGACCGAGCATGGCGCTGCGGTCGACCGGCAAAAGTCCAGAGAGCAAGCCCAGTTAAGTCTATAAAAGGGTTGATTAGGGCATGATGTATTGAGACGAAAAATAGTGAATTTTTCTCCTGCGGCGGCCGTGGACGTAGTTTCTCACATTGAGAAGCGAACCACGTAAATCTTGTGTGTTTGAGATTGTTTGATTTTCTCTCTTCTCTCCTAAATCTCTATTTCCAAATCGCATCAGGGGGGTTGTGCATCCCCAACAAGTGGTATCAGAGCGACCAGGTTCGGCGCGAGCGATTTGAGGTCAGAGACAATGGGATCTGAGAAGGAAACATCCAAGATTGAGAAGTTTGATGGAACAAACTTCGGGTTCTGGAAGATGCAGATGGAGGACTACCTCTATCAGAAGGATTTATACCTACCATTGGGAGAGAAGCCGACGGATATGAAAGATGCGGATTGGAAGCTATTGGATCGAAAGGCCCTTGGAGCGATCAGGTTGACCTTGTCTAAATCAGTAGCGTTCAACATCAAGAATCAGAATACGACGGCGGATCTCATGGTGGCGTTGTCCAGTATGTATGAGCAGCCCTCTGCGGCGAATAAGGTACATCTCATTAAAAAGTTGTTTAATTTGAGGATGTCCGAGAGCCAGAAATTCAAGGAACACCTGAACGAGTTTAACGAGATCACGGATCAACTAAACTCGGTCAATATTCAGTTTGACGATGAAATCCAAGCCCTCTTGATACTTGGTCAATTGCCCGACAGTTGGAAGGGTACTGTTATCTCGATCAGCGGATCATGTGGCAAATCAAAACTGAAGTTTTCAGAGGTGGTGGACATGATTATGACTGAGGAGATTAGAAGGCAAGAGGAAGGGATTTCTAATTCAGGGTCGGCGTTGAATCTTGAGGGCAGAGGAAGAAACAGAAACAGAAATAGAGGGAGTAGCCGAGGAAGATCTAACTCGAGGAACGGAAGGCCAAAGTCCAGGAACCGCAAGGGCAAGAAGGAAATTGACTGCTGGAATTGTGGCAAGTTTGGCCACTATGAGAATCAGTGCCGAGAACCCAAGAAGGACAAGGAGAACAAGACTGAAGCGAACGTGGCCTCAGGAGAATCAGATGATGCCCCAATCTGTTTGTTGGAGAGCAAAACTGAATCGTGGGTGCTGGATTCAGGAGCTTCGTTTCATGCTACCTCAAATAGAGATTTATTTGAGAACTACGTTTCAGGAAACCTAGGAAAAGTCTATCTTGGTGATGATCAGCCTTGTGATATTGTTGGCAAAGGAGTCGTGCAAATCAAGCTCAATGGGTCTACATGGAAGCTGAGTGATGTGAGACATATTCCTAGCTTGAGGAAAAATCTGATTTCCATAGGACAACTGGCGAAAGAGGGATACGTATCAACCTTTGCATGTGATACATGGAAGGTTACAAAGGGATCCATGGTTGTTGCCCGTGGTACGAAGACGGGATCTCTCTACATGACGATAGATGCACGAGGTTCCATTGCAGTGGCTGAAGGCAGTGAAGACCCAAATTTGTGGCACCAGAGGCTAGGTCACATGAGTAGCAAAGGCCTAAAGGTTATGCAATCGAACGGGAAGTTACCAGGTTTGAGATCGGCTGATATTGACCTATGTGAAAGCTGCATTCTAGGGAAACAAAAGAGAATAAGCTTCAAAAGGGTTGGCAGAACCCCTAAGGAAGAGAAGCTTGAGTTAGTTCACACAGATGTGTGGGGTCCAGCATCAGTTCCATCCACCGGCGGGAGGTTATATTTTGTGACCTTCATAGATGATCACTCGAGGAAGACTTGGGTCTATTTCATGAAACACAAATCAGAAGTGTTTGAAGTCTTCAAGAGATGGAAGGCTATGGTTGAGAACGAGACCGGTTTGAAGATCAAGAAGCTTCGTTCTGACAACGGCGGCGAGTATGAAGACTCAGAGTTCAAGAAGTTCTGTTATGACAACGACATTAGATTAGAGAGGACAGTGCCAGGTACACCCCAGCAGAATGGCAAAGCAGAACGCATGAACAGAACCTTGACTGAGAGAGCCAGAAGTATGTGGTTGCAAGCAGGTTTTCCAAAGCAATTCTGGGCAGAAGCAGTCAACACAGCTGCCTACTTGATCAACCGGGGACCATCAGTGCCTTTGGAGCACAAAATACATGAAGAAGTATGGAGTGGAAAGCAGGTAAATCTCTCTTACCTGAGAATATTTGGATGTGTTTCATATGTACATCTGAGTGATCATGCTAGAAGCAAACTCGATCCTAAGTCCTTAAAATGTTTCTTTGTTGGCTATGGCGGCGATGAGTTTGGCTACAAGTTCTGGGATGAGCAGAACAAGAAAATCATCAGAAGCAGGGATGTGGTCTTTAACGAATCAGTCCTCTACAAAGACCGTGATGCAGTTCAGCCCACTAGCTCGATGCAGAGTGATCCTACATATTTCGAGTCAGATGATGCCTCAGATGGAGGCAATCCCGAAGCCAGTTCTGATGAAGAAGAAGAAGAAGAAGAGTTGATGGATGAGACTATGAAGAGCCTGTTTCGCCCGTTAGAGAGTTGAGGCGGTCAGCTAGAGTCCCCAAGCCTAATCCAAAGTATCCATCACTACAGCCCAGAGCTCATCTCAACTACCTATTGTTGAGTGACGGTGGAGAGCCAGAAAGTTATGATGAAGCCCTTCGAGTGGATGATGCGAGCAAGTGGGAGCTCGCCATGAAAGACGAAATAAAATCCTTGGACACCAACAAGACATGGGAACTTGCGAAGCTACCAACGAAAAAAAAGGCCTTGAGCAATAAGTGGGTGTACAGAATCAAAGAGGAACATGATGGTTCTAAGAGACACAAGGCCAGATTGGTGGTTAAAGGATTTTAGCAGAGAGAAGGAGTTGATTACACAGAGATCTTCTCTCCAGTAGTCAAACTAACTACCATCAGAACAGTCCTGAGTATTGTTGCAGCTGAAGATCTACATCTCGAGCAGCTAGATGTAAAGACAGCTTTCCTCCACGGTGATCTAGAGGAAGAGATATATATGCAGCAGCCAGAGGGGTTTACTCAGAAGGGAAAAGAGAAGATGGTATGCAGATTGAAGAAGAGCTTGTACGGCCTAAAACAAGCTCCAAGGCAATGGTACAAAAAATTCGATGGATTCATGCACAGGAACGGTTACTCCAGGTGCAATGCTGATCACTGTTGCTTTGTCAAGGAGTTTGACAACAGTTACATCATCCTGCTTTTATATGTCGACGACATGCTAGTAGCCGGTTCAGATATGACAGAGATCAAGAAACTGAAGAAGCAGCTGTCGAGTGAGTTCGACATGAAGGATCTAGGCGCAGCGAAGCAGATATTGGGAATGAAGATCAGTAGAGATAAACTCTTGGGCACACTACGACTATCTCAGGCCGAGTACATTAGACGGGTGCTTGAGAGATTCGGGATGAGTGGTGCTAAGGCCGTTAGCACACCGTTAGCCAGTCACTTCAAACTGACTAAGGAGCAGTGTCCTGAGACTGATGAAGAGAAAGAATACATGGCTAAGGTTCCATATGCTTCAGCCATTGGAAGCCTTATGTACGCCATGGTATGCACGAGACCTGACATTGCCCATGCAGTGGGAGCTGTGAGCAGATTTATGTCAGATTCAGGAGAGCAGCACTGGGAAGCAGTAAAGTGGATTCTTAGATACCTGCGAGGTACTATAGAAGATTGTCTATGCTTCAGAAGAGGCAAGTTAGTCCTGTAGGGTTTTGTTGATGTAGACTATGCAGGTGAGATAGACCATAGAAGGAGCACTACAGGATATGTATTCACTTTGGGCTCTACAGCTATTAGTTGGATTTCTCAGTTGCAGAAGATCGTTGCTTTATCAACGACAGAGGCTGAATATGTTGCTGTGACAGAGGCAAGCAAGGAGATGATATGGTTGCAGGGTTTCTTGGAGGAGCTGGGACAGAAGAATGAGAAGAGTGTCCTACATTATGATAGCCAGAACGCAATTCATTTGGTAAAGAATCCCGCTTTTCATGCAAGGACCAAACACATACAGGTCCGCTACCACTTCATAAGATCAGCGTTGGACGAGGACATGTTGGAACTTGTGAAGATTCAAGGAAGCAAGAACCCAGCTGATATGCTTACCAAGGTTGTCACTACAGAGAAACTGAAGTTGTGATGGCGCGGCGGTCGACCGACGTCGTGCACAGCTGGGTGCACAGGCCAGGAGCTCATCGCGGTCGACCGCATGTGGCGCTACGGTCGACCGCTCAAAGTCCAGAGAGCAGTCCAGAGTTTTGTCTTCGTCGCGGTCGACCGCACATGGCGCTGCGGTCGACCGCCCAAAGTCCAGAGAGCTCGATCAGGAATAGGATTCGTCGCGGTCGACCGCACGTGGTGCTGCGGTCGACCGGAGTCGGGTTTTGGCCCAGATTCGTTTTTTAACCTGATTTGATCTGTTTCCTTGTTTACTTGTTAAACCCTTAAGTCTATAAAAGGGTTGATTAGGGCATGATGTATAGAGACGAAAAATAGTGAATTTTTCTCCTGCGGCGGCCGTGGACGTAGTTTCTCACATTGAGAAGCGAACCACGTAAATCTTGTGTGTTTGAGATTGTTTGATTTTCTCTCTTCTCTCCTAAATCTCTATTTCCAAATCGCATCAGGGGGATTGTGCATCCCCAACAATGACCAGGGTCAATACAGTTCTCATGTTTGGGTTCATCGAGATAGTGGTGAGTGAAAAAGGCTACAAATTTATTTTACGGGACCACTATCCTTAGGTTCGGTTGATTTTGAGATAATCCTTCTAAACTTTAGAAATGTTAC